TTTACTTGAGATGGGTTTCTGTACCATGGTGTTGGGTAGTTGTTGATGTTTGGACACCTATTGTATTTCCTGTATGTGGTTGGGTGGAATGGCTTCATGGTCGTCGTTGGAGTGTTATTAATGTAATCGATTTTGGTGCGAAGGCTTGAATTTATCAATTGCAGCAAAAAGTGAGTATTCTAAATATAATTTACTGGGATTGACAGAGACAAGCCTTCAGGCTGGAGTTCTGGTGCCGAGTGGCACGAGGCAACAGAACTGTGGCTTGATGGGTTGATTCCGATTATCGCGAGTTCGCAACGCAGTATGATTTGACCGTGGCTCCAAAGATCGTTGTCTCGGCACGTTCACTTCCATGACTGTTCCAGGGTCCTACAAGGTTCCCATTGAATTGTGGAGGCCCAAGAAATAGTTGGTTTCTTCATCGGAGTACCAGCATAGCAATAGCTGAGTTGATTGCGGCGAACGTGGCTATACCCAAGTCATTTTGATAAGAATCTTGCTGCCGTGACCAGGACGGAGGATGTCCGCTTGAAACTTTCAAGATCAACAAAGTTGAACAATCAAGGTAGGGTCATGCAGGGAGCATGCTCTATGCTCAGTCCCTCTGCGGTCATCATATGTTACTGATTTCTGCGGTACGGGTTACCCAGCTAGAGTACCGGTAGGGGAGTTAATATCGATGGAAGCCGGCAGAGAGCCAGACTTTTAGGAAAAGAAAAGGCGAAAATGAGGACTATGTCGCTCTTTGATGGCCGACTAGACCTCTAGCTAGCATGTGGACATTCCGCTACGGCACCACGGTATGCTGTAGTTGACACCCTTCCCCAGCTCACTTGATACAGTAAAGAATGTTGAAAGCTGTGGCTGATAACGCACGCTGCACCGGTTTTCTAGCCTGAGCAAACATTTACTGAAACGAAACAGCAGTACAGCCACGGCAAGATAAACGACGAGACACATCAGCCACCCGAGCATTTGCGACTCTTGAGAAGATTCTTCGTACGTCTATAGAGTTTATCTTCCGGTGTATGGTGAACTGATGTGGGACCTGATGTGGATTGTCTACAGGTACTAGTATACAGGTACGAGTATGCTCTCGATCCATCCAACAAGGGTAGAGAGGGGACTGAGGCGGACCTCTGAGCAAAGTATGGGTATCACCGGGGGGTTGTGAACCTCTTGCTAGGCTCTTCTCCAAGCCACGCGAGCGAAATGCTTATCCAGGTACCGGTATGTCGTGGCCTCTCCAAGAGGGCAATCAGTTTTTGCGGTCGTCCCGTGCTTTGAGTTCAAACATTATGCTTTTGCTTTTGACTCAAATTTGTTAGGTGTAGTTTCACATCACTGCCCATGGTGACAACAATGAATGCAATTGCAACAGCCAAGCAGTTGTACCGGTGCCGGTGTCTGCACAAGCGGGTAGCCACCGGCAGAGGACATGGTACGATAACCAGCTAGAGTGGTCCATTTGAGTGCTGGTTGCAAAATGCGAGAGAGGCACCCTACAATCATCAGGCCTATGGGATTGGGAAGCACAACGACTACTAGTAGGCAACTTGTAATGCAAGACAGCAGAAATGTGGTTGGTGTTGTTACAGTTTGTGTTTTAGTTTGAGACTATTGCATCAATGTGATTCGATGTGAGCGGCCAAGGGAAGCTCGAGAGGCTGGAAGTTCCGAAGGTAATTGGCTTATCAGTGATTGATTTTGTCCCCCAGTGTTGTTGTTGAATAGTCCATTGCGATCGTCGCAATTCGTTGAAACCGTGCAGATGTGAGTTTTCGCAATAGGTTTCGTTTATGCGTTCCAGTCACCACGGCGTACAACTTCAACCTCCTCCTCTTCAGTTGTTGTCATGGCAAGCTTGGCAACAGCCACAACACCCATGCTCAAAATGCTTCCGAACATGACGATGGCTGCGATTTCTGTCTTTTCAAACAGAATGAGACCAAGGATGACATCGATGAGGACTTCTGGAATCAATGCCACGAGGGATTCGGGCTCGTTAAAAGCTCTTCGGAAAATGAGAGCTGTTCCAATGAAGCAAGCAATTCCAAAGTTCACGATCATCCAGTGAATTTGAGGTGGGCTCTCCGTCAAGTAAGCAACACCGAATTGGATGAACAACAAGCATGGGAGAATTGCCAAGAGACAGCTTTCGCCGCAAGATGCCCAGCTGAAATCCTTCTCACTTTCTTCCACATCAGGCTCTTGACTGAGAGAAACTGGAACAGCAATGAAAGCTTCTTGTTCCCCGCTCTTGCACTCGATTGTCTTGGTCATCTTTGTTGTTTGTTGTTTGTTGTCTTTATCAAAGCACTAGCTAGAGAATTGTCGAACAGCTCTTTTGTTGTGGAAGATACCAAATTTGTGAGTTGTCTTGTGAAGGAGCTTTGAATGAACGAATGAACCGGAATGTGGGCAACGATCAACGATTGTTAACGGATTGAACGGCTCTCTAAGTGAATAAAGCGCTAAACAAGATTCTGCATTTCTTAGAGGTCCACGCAAGGCGACTGAATGGTAATAACATGTTTACGAACGAATGTGATCACAAGACTTCGAACCGAGTCCAGACGTCCAGACTGATACTTTTACGGTATGCATACGCTGCATACGGTACGCTACAATGTACAGTCGTACATGTACCAGTAGCAGTCCACTAGAAATGCCTCTTGATGCCATTCAGACGAAGGAGGATGAGTGACAGCCGACTCAGTCTGTAGAGGAACGGTCTTCCACCAACAAGTGCGAACCTGGAACGAGAGCGAGCCCGGCCGGATGAGACCTAAATGGAAATCCGATAGGATTGACATTTAGGTCGAAGCCGGCCGGGCGAGCTCTCGTGACAGGTGAGCACAGGGGGGGAAGAGCGTATCTTCTGGAAACATGTGACAATCACGCCCTAAGTAATCAATTGGAGTTTTCTAAGTAAAAATAATTTAGCTCACATTTTGAGTTTGAAGCCAACCCAAATGGCGCCATTTCGGCTCTCCAAATCCAATTGCAGACTCCGATGCGGCAAACCTTGATCCGATGCCATTGCCACAACATCACGCAACCCAAACCGTCACCGTTGCCGAGTCACTAGTGGCTCCTATTGCCGCCTTTACCAGTCAAAGGTCACGCCATCTCCAGTGTGTCAGGCATCTGTCAATCTTTGACGTACTAGTAGGGTGGTGAGTGAGAGTTCAGAGTTGTCAAGTGACAGTCCAATCCACGTCAGTATTCTCTGCTTACCTCACGCTAGTCCTCTTTGCATCAGCATTGGTGGTCAGGTCATCATGTCCACCGGTCGATCCACTCGCTCCAAAGGGACCTTCCAAGATACTGGTCGATCTCTCTTCTTCCAGATTGCCTCAATAGCAGAAGCCACTGCCAATGGCAATGAAAGAGCATTGTTGGCGGTACAGGAAGAAATTGATGGGGCCGAAGATGACGAAGAGATTGTGGAGTTTACTCAACACAACAGTCAAGGAACTGTACACTGGAGTCAAGCTACTGGTCAACTCACCTTGCAGAGTAATGCCGACGCCAAAGAGGAATTCAATTTACCACCTCCAGATGACTCCTCGGATTCTAGCGAGGATGAAGACGACCAAGGCTCTGGAAGCGAAGATGGCTCTCCCTTGCAACTCGCTCAACTCTCTGTCGTTTCTCCAGACGACACCTCCAACAAGGAAAACTGCCATACCTTCTCTCAAGTCGAAAATGCCAGCCTCCTTCTCCAATTTCGACCTCCAGCCGCCGCGGCACCAGCTAATCCACCACCGCCGCTCCCAGCCGATCCAAAGCAAGCGCGGAAAATGAGACTTCGATCGGCCCACCAAGAGCAACAAGAGTCGAACCGTGCCGCTGCCCTTCATTCGTTTGACGATCGTTGGGAGAAACAAGATCGGGCTTTTGGCGAAACGGGTGAATGTATCACCAATTTTGAAACGGAACCACAAGATGATCCTCAAGGTCAGGTAGACGACACGCCAGTATTGATGGAACCAGAGCGGGACGAGGAATTGGACGGGAATGACGCTCATTCCACTGTAGCCTCCACCGTTGGTTCTCGTGGTAACAAACGCAAAAGAGGCAAACCGAAGAAATCGCCCCGTCGCACCACCCATGAAGGAACTGGTTGTCCACTCGTAGAAATGCTGGTGCCTCGTGCCTCATCCGCGAGCACCACCGCAAAACCATCCTCTGTGACAGGGACAGCCAAGAAACCGGGGCCAAACCCATACCAAAAGAAGTCCAAGTCTGTTCCTCGCCCCCTTCCCACCACTCGATCCGATCCAAGGCTCCACCGCCACCAGCTCCATCTGGTTTACCCGAGCTTGAAGAATTCACTCTTCCCGCAAGTACTCAAGAAGAAAGCGAGAGCCTAGAAGAGATCTGCCGTCTGATGAATGATTCCACGGAAGATTTTGGAGACGAGCAGGATCTCGTTGACAATTGTAAGCGTGGCGGTAACACCAAGGAACGCGAAGCGCGGAAGATTGCTTGTGTCAAACGGATGGAAGATACTCTGAAGGAATCTAACCAAGACTGGTCACGACGGCTCTTTATCAAAGTCAACTGTCGGTACCTCCAAGCCAAGGGGGATTTTGTCGCGTTGGATTACGTCTTGTATGACTATCTGGAAGGTGAAAAGACTCCTTGGAAGCGTGCCCTGATGAACCGCATTATCACACTCTGTGGCGTCAAATGGAGGAAGAAGAAGGCCGGCGTCGCTGGTGGTGAAGTTGGAGGTGAACTCCAACCCAACTCCCTCATGAAGCTCATCAAGGATCTCTTGTGGAAGCTGCGAGAACGGAACATCAACTTTGATGTCAAAGAGTTCTCTGGTGTTGGCGAATTCAATGGAGTCGTAACGGACAAGATGCAGAATTTGTACAAGGAGGATCATTCGTATGGATCCATGGCCAACAAGAAGCGTGCTCCCAAAGACTACATCATTCTCTTGATGCAAGCGATTCAGAACAAGAAACTGGATCCTGAAAACGATCTTGAGCATTTGTGCTTCGTCATCATCTTTTGTCTTGGATATTATTGTGCTTTCCGTGGTGGTCAAGATCATGCGGGGTTGCACATCAATGATATTGGGTTTGGAGTTTTCGACCAAGAGTATGGCGAGTGGGAAGGCCGTGAGTTTGTTTGGGTGAACATCTCCGCTAGCAAGGCGACAAAGTTGAGCACCAAGCATCCGCACATCAAACCCGGTTGTTAGTTGCTCTAAGCTCTCTTCTAGTAGTTACTGTTGCTATTGAGATACTACTGAAAAAGTGGGTGGCTCTGTATTTCTACTGTGAAATTCTAGTACAGAGGTACAGGGTTGAATCCCTAATCGCGAATCCCAACACACTCCTGTGGTCGTCGAGCTTGTCCTAGTCGTCGACCATGCTTACTTACTTACTGCGCTTAGCGCTCCTTCTTTGAACGCTACTAGAGCTTTTCTTGCTCGACGTGCTGACTTGCTACGCTTGCTCGACCTAGACTTGTCATCGTCGTTTTTCTTTGTCTTTTCTTGGTCTTTATCTTTTTTTATTTTATCTTTGTCAGGACAGTGCGAGGCTGGATGTCCTTTATCGTGGCAGGAAAAGCATTCTTTCTCTTTCCAGTATTCTTTATCATAGCTCGCGTTTCCGCGGCCTTTTTCTCTGCCACCACCCCGTCCTCTCCCGCCTTGTGCTGTCTGAGCAAAGGAGCTTCCGTGGGAAGTGGACTGTCGTGGGGTGTTTACTCTTGGTGTGTTTGTCCAAAAGGTGTAATACCTCATGTAACAGTGTGGGGATAGTTATCAGTGCCTTTGGCAAAGTCGTCCCTCAGGTTCTGTTTAAGCTTGGTGTTTTCGGCTGAACTATTTGTTAAGAAGATATAACTATAGTACCGTTCCTCTGCGTATGCCGAGACTGTCTTCTGGTCTTCGACCCAGGTCAGCGTATTCTGTGTCTGGGTGGAGTAGGTTGGCCGTATGCAGCAGCGTGCGTCGTGTAGCTTGGAAATACCCACGGATTTTGCAATGTCCCTTTCGGGGTAAATTGCTCGTGGTATTCGGAAGCGGTAAGGCTCCCTTGGTGGAAATTCAACAGTTTTTTTTCCAGTTGGAATAATGTGTGGTACACAAATTATCATCGGTCTGGGCCATGATCGTCTTGTGGATCATTTTCGTAGCTCCAGTGGGTCGCATCTTGACATGACGTCATCGAAGTCCGTGTTCTGCTTCATCTTGTCCTTTAATAGTCGGGTGCACTGCCTAGGATCAAGTTGAAAGCTTTGCCTCTATTTTCTTGGAGTTTGCCAACCTCGTAAGGTGGGTCTTCATTAGCCTCCATACTCTGCTTTCTGAGTCCCCGGAGTTCCTCTCCGGTGGGTCGGCTATGGCTGCCGAAGGTCGGCTATTTCATTAACGAGTTTTGCTTTTCTATCGTTAGTGTGCGTAGGCTACCGAGAGTCGGGTCATTGGTGACTGCGGTTATCTCTATCTAGTAGCTCTAGGCTTTCCTCGGTCGCCGTTAGGAGACGAAGGTTGTTCTGTTCACGTTCGTTCCGCGCTGCGTCAAGCCTGTTCCGGGTCTCCTCTGAGTACACCGGTGCTACCAACACTGTCTGTTTCAGGTTGCGTAGCTCATTGCTCATGTCGTCACCCATCGTTTGTCCAACTGGAGGACGATCTTCTCCCATGTCGTATCATCTGGTCTGCCGTTCCAGATCCAGTTGTACGAAGTTAAACACATGTTGGTCGAGGCCTTTGCATGAACCTTTCTGCTGGTTCGACGATGGGTTGTTCTTCCATGCCTCGTGCTTTGCCGCCTCCTCGCCACCTCGTCCTTTACCTCTACCCTCATTTCTATGCTACGGTAGGGACTATTTCAATTCGTTGTTTTTTATTGACTAGCTCTTTTAATTTAAGTTCTCGTCCGACTACTTATTCGTCTTATGGCTATGGGGCGATAAACTTCAAATTATACTCCTGGCTAGGGAGTGTGTTAAATCTATTTACTAAAGATCTTGCAGGGAGGGAACGATTGCTTCACACACTGTGCGGTCGTTTCCACTCCGAACCCGTTTCTTTGTATTGTTGATTCCTTGTTGGGTGCCTTTCCTTTGGCTCCTGCGCTGGCACTATGGCTTTCGCGCTTGTTGTTGGCTCTGACAGTTCCGGCTGGATGCTGTCGGCTCTCCTGACTGTGTCGCCGTCGACTGCAGTCTCCTCTCGTGTTGCCGCCGACGAAACTCGTTGCGTCGTCGCGGTCTTGATCCGTTCGATCCGTCCTCGGATCTTCACTCGGATGCCTTCAGTTCCACCGAAGGGCTTCTCTCTGTTGCTGTCGTTCGAACGTCGAACAACAGTCTTCTCTTGTTGCTGTCGATCCTTCGACAGGCTTGGTCTCTATCGGTCGTTCTTGCAACGGTAGTGTCGTCCTCGACGGTCTTCTACTCGTCGCGTCGTCGCGATCGGCGTTCGGCCGATTCTCGCTCCTCTTTCCTGCTACCGATTGGCTGTTTCGTTGACTGCTTCGATAGACTCCTCTTCACTGCTTCGACTCGATAGTAGACCGCTTTTTCAGTAGTATGTTAGTTGCTCTAAGCTCTCTTCTAGTAGTTACTGTTGCTATTGAGATACTACTGAAAAAGTGGGTGGGCTCTGTATTTCTACTGTGAAATTCTAGTACAGAGGTACAGGGGTTGAATCCCTAATCGCGAATCCCCAACACACTCCTGTGGTCGTCGAGCTTGTCCTAGTCGTCGACCATGCTTACTTACTTACTGCGCTTAGCGCTCCTTCTTTGAACGCTACTAGAGCGCGAATCCCCAACACCGGTCAGCGCACCAAGCTCTTCATTCCCGATGATCATGACTTGAAAGGTTGGACTCCCATCCGCTACTTCAAGCTGTACTTGTCATACACCCACCCCGAAGCCAAGAACTTCTATGCGAAGGATATCACCAGTGACAACACTCGACTTTCCTTGAGCGCTGATGTGAAGAATCGACTGATGATTGTTCGTGATGTTCGATTCTTTCCTGCTGGTAATCGGAAAGCACAACACAACCTTGGTCCCGCCACCATCGTCAAGAAATGCAAGGCTTTGGCAAAGTTGATTGGTGTCGAAGACTATGAATCCTGCACAGGTCATGCCTTGCGTTCGTTGTCCATTACTCAAGCCGTTGCTGCCGACTTGAACTCCAATGAAGTTGCCAACATGGCCCGTCAAAAGAGTACCACCGTTCAAACAGAGTATGTGCACGGTGCCAATTCGGAACGTGTTGCCAATCAGATCAGTGCCGTCAGTGTCGCCAATGTCATGAAACGCAGTAAAGCCACGAACTTGGTCGAAGTTGCTGACTCCAAGCCTGCTGCACGCCAATCTTCTGGTTCCAAGGACAATGAGTCGAATGAAGTCGAAGTGCAACGATTGCGAGCTGAAAATGCCGAGATGAAACTCAAGATGCTCGAGTAACAACAGCAATCTGTGAGGGCCATGGCTCCACCACCAGCTGCTTCCTTTCCCAATCAGCAACCGTATGCTCCACCACAGGGGGCGTATCCGGCTCCACCACAGGCTGCATATCCGGCACAGTATCCTCAGCAGGTTCCTTCATACCAGTCAAATCCGTTTCCACCGAATTCATATGGGTTTCAACAGTTTCCCACATATGGATATCAGCAATTGCCACCCGCATACTTTGGTGGTGGGTATCAGTCATTTGCCCCTCCATTTGATCATCGTGGATCGTTTCCTCCTCCACAGGGATATCAGCAAGGGCCACCACGAGGTTCGTATCCTCCGCAGCCGGAGCATCTTGGATATCAGCAGGGACTACCACCGGATCATTATGGATATCCGCAAGGTCCTCCACCGGATCATCGTGGATCGTATCGGCATCAGGAACTTCATGGATATCAGCCAGGTCCTCCACTGGATCATCGTGGACATTCTCTAGTGCCGCCTCAAGGCCGTTCCGAGCTTCCGCCTCCCGGCAATATGCCCCCACCGGATCATCAACGTGGGTCTTCTCTCGTTCCGCCTCGAGGTCGGTCTCCGCTACCACCTGGCAATAATCCCACCGGATCATCGTGGATATCAGCAAGGACCACCATCTGATCATCGTTGGCGTTCTCCAGTACCGCAAGGCCGTTCATCGAATCCGAATGGTCATGGTCAAGGATACGGAGGAGGAGAGTACTACCGCCGCACTAGCTAATGACCATTGTCGGTACTTTTTGGAGTGGAGATTGAAGTTTCCGAAAAGGCATAAGTTTGCTGTTTTGAAGTGCCTCCATCGAATTTTATGAAAGAAATGAACCGGAGTCTTCTTCAGTCGACAACTTTCTTTCTTGCATTGGCTTCGCATTGATCCATCCGAGTTGGTCCTCTCTTTAGCTTCTTTTTGGCTAAGAACCTCGATTGCTAGCAACAAAGGTTGTTGTTCAAATTCTCTTACAACCTTATTTCATAGTAATTCTTACAGAAATTGAATAATCTGAATTGTAGCTACAAGATATAGTTTAGTCTAGCCAAATCCCGCGATCCTTCAACGCTTCTGAAATAGATTTCCCGGAACCGTCTCCAATCGTACAAGTTTGACAAATTTGCCGCCTTCAATTTTGCCATTGTAGCTATCCCAGAGACTCAAAAGAAATAGAGATTCTCTACGGACCGGTACCAGGAGTAGCAACAATAGCCTTTTGGAGGTGACGACATTGAATTGGTGTTGACTCCCTCTCAACGTTGAGTATCGAACCAAATTTTTGCACATGGTCGCAAAATTTCTTAATACTGAAAAATGTGAGCGTTGAGAGGTCATGCCGGTGCTTAGATCGTTCCAGAGTTTGCAGCCAAATTGGGAGAGATCCATCGAGTACTGAAATTGCTATAGTGAAAACAGTCGTGTTTACTTCTCAACTTCAACCTACAGGCGGCTTCGATTTTGTTGATTCAAACGCGCGCCACACTTCTCATTACACTTCTACACGAGCTCTCCTAGAATTGTACCAGAAAAGCCGGCACGCGTTTGCATCAATAAAATCGAAGCTGCTCGTATCGTAGAATTACTACTAGAAGCTACGAAACTCTTCCAAAATAATTGGAGCATGGTTCCAATGGGTTGATCTTGCTCTTCTGCTACTAATATCAGGAACGATTCTATAGTTTTGGAGGGGTGCTGGCTAGCCAGTAACCTCGACATGCACGCATTACGCGTCATGGACTATCGTACGTGTAGTTCTTATCATATATATGACAAATGACATAAATGGTTGTACAATCCAACAGTTGAGTGAGGACAGCGGGTTGCTGTGATGTGCATTGTCGCCAGCGCCAAGCTGTCATGAGTACTAACAATCCACAACTTCAAGTAGCAGATTGTCTCTAACCTCTGAAAGAATAACTCTGGTCAGAAGCACAATTATTGGCATCCATTCGCGAGCATGCAGGGAGCTGAGCAAGTGAAGGGCACATTATATTTCGTGCCTTGCATTGCTCAAGTCGAGCTGCTCCTATGCCGTACGTTCACCAGAAATAATGTTGCTTCCCTCTCCCTCGTTGTTTCCTGAATCCACGGCGGCTTCGACAGCGGTCGGCGTCACCGAATTAGCCGAATCATCAGTCATGAGACTTGCTGGTGTAGATCCCGTACTATGGGGTCTCCTAATCAAGGTCGATTCACCCACAGATGCAACAGCATCGAATCCACTTTTTCCAACTGCAGCGACCGCATGCACTCCACCCTTTCCCACTGCCGTCACAGCTCCCACTCCACCTTTTCCAACGGCAGTGACGGCATGCACACCTTCCTTGCCTACAGCGGTCACCACATTGACGGCTCTCTTACCAGCCATCATGGTTGATGCGGCAATGGTATGCCTCTTCGAGGATCCATCTGCACTGTGAACTTTCCGAACCGTGGACAGTCTTGGTGACCCCCCTTTTCTACTTTTCGTCCCAAACTTGCGGATCTTCGGTGACGGATCCGTGCGTGGGTTATCTCTCTTCTTTT